AATATTATAATTAGACCTGTTTATGGCAAATAATTGGTTCAGAAGAAATATTCACACTCACAAGGGATGAAGCGGAAGGTCAGACAACTTCTGTATTTTGGAAGCCGGATATTTTTCATACAGCAATTGTGTCTCTCTTATTAATTCATTAATTTGAAGATTCTGTGGAAGTCTCGACAAGAAGGAGTGTACTATCGCGAAATCGCAATCGAGCGCCAACAGTTCTTCTCTTCTGTTTAATACAATCTCATATTAAAACGATATGGAGTAGTACTCAGGTTAGTTCAATCGATTCATAGCTTGTGTTGCAAAATTAGGCCAGAGCATACTCACCAGACCAATTTATCATGCTATTATTAGATAATCTCTTTCCCAACCTCTTTTACTCTTAAACTCACCTTGGCAGCAAGATACACACTCATCAGCGGATTAGATGAAATGAAAAAGTCAAATAGCCTTGTAATTTTCGTCAAACTCCTTAAATCATGACTGCACCAAGTAATCACCCAGCTAATACAGAAATAAGGCGACAAATCACAAGCCATCAAGAACTGATGTATTTCCTTATCTTCTTGTAATAGTATGGTATTAAGCAGCGTGAGCTGGCCTAGCAATACATCAAAAGAATCCAACATCGCGTCCCGCAGTAAGAACATTGCTATATTCTCCGCAGCAGATGCGGCTGCCTCTTTGCCAAGGACAAGAAGAAGGATTGAACATATGTCGTGAAAGCCTTGGTAGTAATGAAGTGAAGGATGCCGACGCAGAACTTGAACTATTATATCACACAAGTCATGCTGATTCTGTTTTAATGTTATTTTGCGTGTGCCTAACAAAAAGGATCAGGAAGAAATTGCGTAAGGAAATGGAAAAATTCAACAAAAGCATAGACATCGCGACGTACCTTTTCGAAAATGGGCAAAGGATCTATCAACGTCAAGGGTTACTTGTTCTTCTTGTTTATGTTTGTCAGCCACTAGAATAAAAAATTCGGAAACAAGTTGCAAACATCATTTAAAAACCCAGTCTTTTATCCTTTGCTTCGACGTTCGTCATTTAGAAAACTGACGTGGTTTGATGCTCACCTTTTTCGATCTTTTTATCATTGTTACAGTGTAGTAGCAAAGGCCAAGCCAACTTTCTCATCCCATCGTTGATTAAACCCGGTCCAGTAATGGCTAGCCGTCTCAGTTCTGCGACATCTTCACTCGCAATAGCCTTATTAATCTTGTGAACACGTCGCTTTAATTCGGCGCTTTCTTTGGTTTCGTACGAGTCTTGACCACTTTTACCGGTACGTTTGCGAAGTTGTCTTGTTCGAGATGGCATTATGGGCGATCAAAATACGAGTTTCAGAAAAGACGGTTTAAAAAAGAAGTAAAAGGAGTCGACGGCGTAAATTACTGCTACAGCCTAAAAGTCACGTTGAGATTCACAGGACATTGGTAGAACTCGAATCACTTTACAACGTCTACGCTGTTAAATCGGGGCATATTGAACAACCACTGCAGGTCGCATGAGATTTTCATAAAGAAATATTCCAATAGGATCATCCAGTAAAATTCTGCTTTGGGGAGATAAGTAAAAGCTTTCGTAATCATAATTCGTCACTTTTGGTTTAATGCTCAACGTGTCATTATCCTTCTTCTAATCGATGATTTCATTTACGATTCTACTTTATTTTTATTTGGAGACTTAAGAGCACAACGCCAAGATATTAGAAATGGTATCTCGCGCAAATCTAAATAATACATGCATGCACATCCATGTGATTCGCTTGCTTTCCTTATTTATGCCGTTCTAAATAGTTAATAATGTGATGTTCCGAACGATTAGGAACAAGTGTTTAGGAGAGAAGAGTGGTATTTGAATTTCTTTGAGACACATGACCATGACCAGCATCAAATCTGCCTCCCTTTAGCATACATTTTCCAAAGTTGTAATCAAAGCAATGACCATTTGTGTAAGATGTATAATAATAACAGCAAATAAAATCCTTTCAATCGCTAAGTTTACAGTGTCTCTGGCAAAGCACATGTAACTAATAATCTGTTGTCCCAAGGTTAATTCTCGAAAATTTATTATACAAGTTTTAAGTTCCTCGCGATATAGTGATACCAGGGTTGCCGAGCCAATCGTTATCTGCAGAATCTTTACTAACGGTCAAGTTGCTTATAAGCCATGAGGTTCAAGTCTCACGCTCCTCACCGGAATAGCAAAGTTTGCCGTACCCGGGGAATGCGTTCAGTTTTCTCACCGTCTCCACACACTAGATAGCTAACCCGATCGGTCACACAAACAAACAAAATATAATAACTAGACACGTTGTTCAAATAAATTAACCATGCAGGGACTAACTCCAGATATTGCGCGGTATTAGAAACGTATTGTTCGAACCCAAAGAGGCCAAAGATGATGATTTTACTACTGCTTATTATTAAGTCGGAGATGCAACCTTAAACTCGCTGCTTTCATTCTTTATCTCTCATTTTATAGAATTTGTTATCCTCTATTAATCGGTTCAAATTACTTTTGCTATTACAGTTGACCCTCTCTAATATCAATCGGCCAATTTATGCGGGGTTGGATTATTATTAAACTAAATCAATTTGTTCACCTCTTATGAATTGTGGACGAAAAAATCTGTTAATTTTTTTTGTTGCCTCGCCTCGTATATATTCGATTGAATACGACGCAACAGACTTTGTAATCTTGGTATGTCTTGCTC